CAATTTATTCATATTCAAAGTGTTAATTTTATGTTAGAGTCACCAAATGAATTGCGTTGTAAATTTTAAACTTCTCAATTACATAAGCTCTAGCCGTATCGCTTTAGCCATATCATTGCAACCTACCAAAATAATATTACCTTTGATTCTAATTATAAAAATTGATATTATTTCAGATTCTAATTATAAAAGTTAATTTTTTTTTCTTTGATTCTAATTATAAGGAACAATTATTACTTTTTAAAGTTATTCAGAATTAATTTTTTTTATACCCTTCATTTATTATTAATTGTATTTCCTATGCATTCACTTACCATTAACATTAAATATGACAACTATTTAAAGTAAAAGTTATATTTGAATCCAATATGAATTTAAGGCAGAATTAATTAAAAGTAATCTTATTAATTATTTTTTTAATCTTAATGATTTATTTTATTTTACTTATAATTAGAACCAAAAGTAATAATTTATATCAATAAATAAAAATTTGTGCACTTATTCTTAATATACTTTTACGGTTATAAATTATCTTTTAACCATCATCACATTTTTCAACTAACCACCCATTCTATCAAAATTAACTATTATTTTTATCTTTTCTATTATCGAAAAAATTCGGAATATCTTCTCTCTTACTAGTAATTTAATCATGGGAGAAGTGTACAAAAAATGAAAAGGTGCATGCATGTGGCCCTTACCACTTGTCATAATTTTTTGCTAACAATCAACGACAAAGAATCACGGATTCGCTATATATGTTTCATACAAAGTCCTTACGTTCATAATTATTTTTTTTTTATAGATAATCATTAGTAATGTAAACCAATGTATTATGAAAGCTAATCCAATATTATAGTTTAATTCCATTAGAGACTTTTTAAATTGATACGATTTAGTCATCCATGTATTGGGAATGTAAACCTCAACCGTGTGGTTCAACAGTAGGGTTGATTCACCCTTAAATAAGGTCAGAGGTTCGAATCCTGTCTTGTATATGTAGCCGTGTTAAATTTTGGGACCAGGTATCCTACCTTTTGAGGTGCCTCTAACGTAGCAAGAAGATTAGTCACTGCTATCGGCGGTGGATACTCAAGAGACGAAAAAAAAAATGTATCAAGAATGTAGAAACGCGTGGTCCACACCATATCCACATTTCTTTTGCGTGAAACAATTAATTTCACGTAGTATGCTTAATATGGTAAGAATTAGATAGAATATAACACTGAATTTTGAACTGTGTTCACAAACATATTCGTATAATATGAACACAGCATTTTTATATTTCTAGTGGGGAGGACAAGAACAAAATTGGGTTTCGTCTTTTTATATAAAGAAAACGAGTCTGGTTAATCTCAGAGAAAGTGTAGTGTGTGACATGTAACTGATTACGCGCAGGATCTTCCATATTTGACCACTGCAATATCACATGCAATGCAAAATCAATGTCCAATTGCTCATGTTTCCGCTTATATATACAACTAGTACATCGATGAGATACAACAAAATCTCGCATTATTATAATAAAAACTCAAATATAAATTTATAAATAACATACTTCATTGTTATGAAATATTTTAAGTGATGATTAAAGAAAATCTATAATACATAATAAGGTATAACATTTATTTTTATATAAAGACTCATTTACTTATTTTAAAAGTAAATTTATATAAACTTATTTTATTTAATTATTCATATTTTATATAAATTTTTAACGATTCAATTATTAAATTAAAAGTTTTTAATATATAAATCAAGATTGAATTTTTTAAAAATTTTGAAAACTCTTTGATATTTTGTTTCATTAATTTAAGTTGATGTATAAAATATTTTTATGAATATCTGTTAATTTGAATTAATGAAATAAAATATCAAAAAATTTGATATATATTAAGAATTTTTTGATTTAATAGTTAAATTGTTAAAATTTAATATAGAATTATTGAGTGAAGTAAATATACAATTGAATTAAAAAAAAAATTTAATGTATAAATCAAGTTTACAAATTTTTAAAAATTTAAAAAGTTAATCTATACATTAAAAAATTTTAATTTCATGATTGAATCGTTACAATTTGACGTAGAATATCAATTATTAAATGAAGTTTATCAACACTTATATATTCTTAGAGTAAGTGAATTACTCTCCCTCCTTCTCTCTCTTATACACACACATACACATATATATATATATATATATATAGAGGAGGGTTCAAACGACACCGGTGTAACTTTAACTAAGTGTTACACCGCTCAATAACTTTATATTAAACGTGAATTTTGTAAATCCAACTGTTAGATTGAAAGTTCATATCTCTTAGATCATATATATCAAATTTTCTATTAATCTAAGATAATTTGATACTTCATTCTCATAAAACAAAATTGACGTAATATATATATTTCAAAATATACTAAAATATGAACACTTTGATTACCTTCAAGTTGTTGTTCAATTTTAACAAAATTTAACATATATGATCTAAGAGATATGAACTTTCCATCTAACGGTTGGATTTACAAAATTCATATTTAATATAAAGTTATTAAACGGTGTAACACTTAGTAAAAGTTACACCGGTGTCGTTTGAACCCTCCTC